CCTGTACAAAATAAGCCCCTCCCTCACCTGGAATTTACCACCCGAAAAAAAATCTCAGCCTTTAAATCTGAAGTGAAGGAAAACATTTGATTCACAGTAACTAGTCATACTGGAGGTACCGCCACGGAATCCATCATTTATTTCTCCGTAGAATTCCAATCATCTTTTTGTCAGAATCCTTTAAGCAGTCCCGTTTGTTTTTGTAATTTTCCCATTGTATCCCTAAAGCGTTGATGACAAAAGCAAGAAGGAAATCATATGATTTCGTCACAATTAATTAATACATGTACATGCATTTTCTGTCGTTTTGATTCAAAATTTTTTTCTTCATAATCTGATGACACTCAGCATCATATTTTGCCCCTGCAACCTTTTATTTAGCATTTAATGCGGTCTAAACATTTTTTTTAATTTGTCTTAACTAATTTTTAACGACATTTCCTTGTATTCTATATATGTCACTATATAATTCATGACCCATTGTTATTTAAAACATTGGAAAAATCTGCTGAATTCACAATCATAATTTCTTTTATTACATGTACCACACAATGCTTTACGTGTTGATTTGTGATAACAGTTACAGTTGTCTTTCAGCTTTGTTGAATATTCTTTAATATTCTCACTTCCGCCTGTATTCGGTAGCAACTCGCTGGCTGGATTCACAATGGCAGCCAGGGTTTTTATCAGATTGCGTCCTTCATTACAATGATGTATTAAATTTGTACACACACCAGAACAATATATAAGAATAGGGAAAAACATTAACAAAACCACTCAGTATATCTTTTAAGGAATTTTATGAAGTTTTAGAATTCAGTATAGGTACGTTAAATCAAAGGATGACAGCACTTAAGGACACACGAAAGAACGAGGTCACCTCTACGTTGGTATTCGCTGGAATCTGGGCGCACTTGAAAAGTTTAAATTTCATTGATCTGTCACATGAAATTTTAGCATTCTTTTGATTTATCGGGTTCCTGTGAAATAGGAAAGGGAAATATTTTCCTGATATTGTGTTTTGATTTGATATAGAATAACTTGAAAATTGGCTGGATGTGTCATTTGGTACAAAATCTTACATTTTTAAACATGATTCTCTAATAATTGGCTTTCTTTGGGTCACCTCTCCATGATTTTGAAACGTTATTTGTGTGCATTTTAATTAAAACAAACAAACATTTATAAAAATGGAGAGAAGACCCAGAGACCATAAAAAATTGACTTTTTCGAAAAGAAAATCTGATGTGTAAATGCGGTGTATCATTGTCATTTTAAAATCCAAAACGTTTGTGTAGCGATGATAGCTCAGTAGTATGCGTTACCTGTCGAGTGCAATGGAAACGGAAATATTTTTTGTTCGATCCCTGCATGGGGCATTAATATTTTCAAAATTAAACAATCAATTCTTTTATCAGTTTAATTATTCTAAAATGGATAAATTCTGGTTCTGTTGCACCGAGTTTTATCCTACTGATACTATAAAGAGACACCGTGACGGAAAAATAGGAAAATTGACAAAAGAAGAATATTTGCGAGACCCATACAAATTTTATTTAATTCTTAAAAGTATTAGGTTTCAAAAAATTACAGGTTTGAGAACCTAAAAAATCTACTTTTATGGAGAAAAATATAAGTAAAAATAGTTTAAGTTTGCCCCAACATGAAAATACTAATTGCTTCACTTCTTCCTCTTCAAGGTACGCATGCGCAGATAAGTTGAAGAAGTTACCATGGTGTCAATTCCATAGATATAAATGTCGGATGTCCGAGGATTTTAATATAATCTTCAAAAAAGATGATCAGAACTTAATTGCTCCAATTCAATGTTGTTTACAAGTTTCACGCTAAAAATAAAAGACACATGACCTTGACATTGTTGACATTGACGATAACAACCGCGCCATAGATACAACTTTTTTTCCCTGCACTTACATTTTGTAGTCTTTTCTTGGTTTTACAGTGCAGTTGAGATCTCAAAACTTCGCCTTAATAATATTTCTCATAGATCTTTTGTTTTATAATACAATTATCTTAAAGAAACACATGATCTTGACTCACTGTGTAACTTTAATATACAAATATATACTTGTAATTGTGTTTAACTATGCCCTTATTATATAATAGGTGTTTATTATTGATGTGAAGCATTACTATATTATAGTAATTATTAAGATAGGCAGACTTAAATATAACAATTTGACAAGATGTAACATTCTCCTATGTGCATAATTTTGGAAAGTCTGTCCAGCGGTGGCCAGCCGACATATCGTGGACATTTAAACTATATTAACTATAAATGTTTCGCACAGATAATTCCTGCAGATCACATGCTATATTCGCCCATCTTCTTTGCAACAAAATAAACTTTCAAAACAAGCATTTTTTTTGAATTGCAGGAATGGTCAACATCTAATCTACAACTTTACGTAATTAAATTAAATAAAAGTATGTATTTATGAAGTACGAATCCGTTTTCAAAGGCGGTGGTCATCACTATTTCTTGAATCTCGTATGATAATGAGGACGCGCCCACTTTTCTACTGACTTTTTACATAGTCAGCGCATGTTTGTCTGTTGTTCTCCTTTCAACAGTAGTTGTATATTTTTACATTACTAATGTTGTGTCAAACGGAGATTAATAGACAAACGTGCACTCATGGTTTAAAAGCGAAAAAATGCTTCTTCTTACATTCGCTCTCTCTGTTGTAACCAAGGGCTGTGAAATGTTAAATATTATAATTCACCACGTAATTTCTAACCTCAGGTAACTCCGTGAATACTAAATTCCGTCACGTGACTTGTAAGGTAGCATGTTTTGCGCTAACTAGGACACTGTGCTCGAACATGTTTTTAAAATTGTCGGGCATTGATTTAAAATAGTATAATCTCCACTCATTATTTGACAGACTACACCTCAAATAATACAACACATATGCTGTAAGCCAGGCTAGCTTAGTGGGAGCAGCTGGCGTTTATTTTGATAACGATACATAACTATCTGACATACATTACACTGTATGTGAAAAAATAAAATACTGCAATATATTTGTAAACTACGTTAATGTTATTCATTATACCCCTATCACAGACATTAAAAACCGCCCAGGAAAAAACCATAGACGGGTAACTATGGAAAACCTGTGTCCGCCGCTATGTAAATAATGTCTCAAGGGTGAATTGCAGTACTTAAAATGCATAAACACTATATATATACAATATGTACATGTACGGTGAAACAAAATTAAAATATGTTACCTTTCTTACTGGTATATTTATATATATATATATGATGTATATTATATATAAATATATATATATATAACACGTGTGGTTCTGAAGAGCACTGGCTTAGAATGGCCCAAACACCTTACTGAATACTGCCTTCTCATTGGCCTTCCTTTGGCCACGCCTACCATTGACAAGTAATTCCAATAAAATACGTTCCTATCATACAATGTTTCCCCGCTATTCTACGAAACGCGGGAAAACACTATTCTTTAGTTCCATGGACGTGCTCATATTGTTAATTTCGTTTTGAAACCTTTTCTAATAGTGTACTTGTGCCATGCAGAATAAAGAGGGAGATAGGAAAATACATGTCATTATTATTTATCTACTCTAATTTTAGACCCATTCTTACAATTTTAGCTCCACCTCTCATGGATACCTAATGTTCATTCAAGGGCAGATAAGTGTAAATTCTCTATATTTGGAAAGAGGTTTGAACGAAAAACAGAATTATTTCATTGTATTAATAGTTTAAAATCATTTTAACATTTAAATTTGGTGCCAAATTGAGAGAATTCTTTAGACTTCTTTAGACTATACACAAGCGAAATTAAATTAAAATTTTAAAGCAACAGAAGAGACCGAAAAAGACCCAAAACTCAGTGTTAAGTGCATCCATCCTTTACCTCAGTCGATTGGAATGTTATGTTTTCTTAAACTGAAACGCGATTCTGAAGAATTTCATCCTTTGAAAGGGAGCAGTGAGTATAAGTTCGAGATAAAGTCATGTTCCTCTAAAATGCTTGCAGTTGTAATAATGCGCCTTACAAATTAAGACTACTAGAATATAATTACACACCTTGTAACCATAACATATTGTTCATGTAATCCTTACTTAATCCTCACTTAATCCATACTAACAAAGTGCCGAGGTCTTCATATTTTGCATATCGTCTTGCGGACGACACTATTCATAATAGGAATGAAGTTCTGTGTCTGTTGAAAAATAGGGGCTTTGCACTTTCTGAAATAATTGCTTCCAGTTGGTCATTTTCAACTTTATTTATATCACCAGTAATGGTGTTCCCAGTGGGAATATAGTTGAAGGAAGAGGAAGAACAAGAACACTTTGGAAGATTTTGTTTTAGATGGCAAATATTTAGGCTTTGTAGTGTTTGTTAATATTTAAAAAATTTGGATGCAACAGTTAGGAAATATCTGTAGTAGCTTAAATGCTAGACAACATCCATAACCACAAGCATTTTACTGTATATTCTTGAGTTGAAGAACCCAAGTATGATTTGCTTTATCGTCTTCGAATAGTCTATTTAAAAATTTCAATGCAACAGAGTAAAGAGAAAGAGAAGCCAAAAATAAATAGAGAAATATTATACAAACAAAAAGTAAACAATAATTTATCGCACACTTATTACAAACGTATCTCGGAATCAATTGCGCTCTACACAGTACGCAGTTTACGGTTTATATGTCACTTCTTGCACAATGAAAAGTAAAAAGGATTAACAACAACAATAACAAAAACTGCAAAGGAAAAAAATTCAAACACAATAGACGTAAAGGTTTGTACCATTGGACTTACTGTTATTCTGATTTACTTTATTTTCTTATTAACTCTCCACAAAGCAATTACATTCTCTATCAGTAAAACTAAGATACAAACAAGGTGGGATTTCGTGCAAAACATTCACTCATTGTTGCACTCTTTACTCTCATTTTAGTAACACCACAATACTTTAGGGAAAACAGAATCACTCGTTTGTTATTCCTTTTGAATTAAGTTCTTCTTTTACTCTGGCTAAATATTCTTCATCCGGATAACCGAAACTAGAAAAAAAGAAAGGCATTCTTTCACAAGAGACCCACGGGCCACATTGCTCACCTGAGCACATTGGCTAGTAAAGAGCAGAAATCAGTTCAGTATTGAAAAGTTTACTTTGGAGTGGGGATTGGGGCTTGAATTTCCACTGCCTTAGGATGCTTCCATATCTATAAAACTAATCATGACTTTGCTGTTCCTGAGAAGTTTTTTTCCTTTATATTCCTATGTAAAACTTTGATCCCCCATTGTGGCCCCACCCTACCCCAGGGTTCATGCTTTGAACAAACATGAATCTACACTATCTGAGTATGCTTTCATATCAATATGACTAAACATGGCTTTGCTATTCTTGTTAATCCATGACTTGAGCATTTAAATCTACACTATGTAAAGATTGATTGATTGATTGATTGTATGTTGTTTTATGTCCCTCTCGAGTATTTTTCACTCATATGGAGACGCCACCACTTGCCGGTGGAGAGCTGCAAATTTTGTCATGTACTCGGCACTTACGGTCATAGAGCAGTGAGGGATCTTTTTCGCGCCAGCACCTACTGCGACACGGGACCTCGGTTTATACGGTCTCATACGAAGGACCGGTCTCCACGTCCCACAATGGGATTCGAACCCGCGACGTAAGGATCAACTCCTTACTTTGCGACTCTAGAGCAGACGTTCTAACCGCTGCGCCACGCGGGCGACACACTATGTAAAGAAGATTTCCTATAAGTTTTAATTTTTTTGGCACAGTGGTTCTTGAAAAGAAGATTTTTAAAAGATACCACCAAATTGTTACTTTTTCTGAATTAACTCCCCTTGAAAGAGGGCGTGGCCCTTCATGTAAATAAACTTAAATTCCCTTCATCCACGGATGCTTTGTGGAAGGTTTGGTTAAAATTGGCTCAGTGATTATTCTGGAGAAGAAGTCGAAAATGCTAAAAGTTTACAGACGGAGGACGGACGGACGGACTACAGACAAAAAATGTGATCAGAAAAGCTGACTTGAGTTTTCAGTTCAGGTGATCTTAAAGTAAAGAACGAGCAAATGTCTTTTCTTCAAAACAACAAATTTATCACCTTTCAGGGCCTCCGTCTCTTCGAGTTTTATGGTGTATATCGTTCCATGTGACCACTCCTTCCCTCCCCGTGGTGCGAGAGACACCGATGGTAAACACTAGCCTCTGCTTGAAGGCTGCCTCAAGCAAATGAAGTACTTCTCTACCTTCGTTATTGTCAGGAAGATATGCCTGCCTCTGTATTCCACTATATGGTCTTCCAGGATCAGGGTGGCAGTCCTGTGAAAATAGTGCAGATGAACAGGTACTAGACTTTTATCATATTTTGGGGGCTGAAATTACAGGTATTCTGAAAAGAAAAAAGACTCACAATGCTTGAGTAAATTCTTTAAAGTAGGGATGTCAATTTTGTCAAAAATTCATATTCGAATATTCAATGAAAGTATTCGAATATATTCGAATATTCGATACCATAAATAAATCTGGTGTATTTTAAATATGCATCATCCTACTCCCATGAAAGGTTTAGCGTTGGTATTCTTATATTGGAAGTAAAATCGTGTGAAGGCTTTTGTAGGTGTAACATTAGGAATTCCATTTGATATTTGTCAATGATTGAAATAAATAATTGATTTAAATGTCGAAAAATATGATTTTAACAAATTTAATAATTTAATAAATTTATAGTAGCTCTAACTGAGGAACTAGTCTTCCTACCAAAGGCAGGATTGTCGTATACTGTTTAGTTTTCAATACGTGTTATTAATTACAATTATTGGCCTGATAAGAGATATGATTATAATCTTTAAAAGAATATTTTTAAAATATAAACAGAAATATTTCCATGGACAATTTTCCTAGGCAATCAATCAATTTACCGATATTGAATATAAAATTCAGGATTATGTACAACCCGAGATAATCAAGTAATTTACATATTTATTCTGAAATTAAGCCCTTTACAATATCAATTACAGACGAATTCTATCAGACACTCATTCAATGATCAATTGAATTTATTTTGATTAGTATACTCTTCACGTCTTTTAGACATTCCAAGAAGGTTTTCGTTTATTCAAAATTTATTAATCACAGTACTTCTTTTTTTTGAAATCTGTAAAACACCGAATATTCGAATCTTAAATTTATATTCGAATATCAACTCATCGAATGAATATTCGAATGTTCGAATATTCGTTGACATCCCTACTTTAAAGGGTTATTTTATTTTCAAGAACTGAAAAACTTTATATTTACCCCCCCCCCCCTTCCAATAAAAAAAGAACTTCAGATTTTAGATATACTTCTTGCTTTCCATCAGGAAACACGTAGCTGATAATGAAAGTCTCTGTCTTTGGGAATCCTGGCAGTGACTTCTTGTCCTTGAAAATTCTAGCTTCACCGTTGACGGGTTGAATTCCATAAAGTTTTCCGTACACAGTATTACAGACGGGGCAAATCGGTTTCGAAGAAAAATATTCAGTAATACATTCTTCGCAGAATTGATGACGACACCTAGCAAATTCAACAGGCTGTGTCATTTCATCCATGCAAATGATACAGGTATTGCCTTTAGTGTTTTCTGACTGCCTTATGAAGTCTGCCAAGCTAACTGTCTTATCTTTTGATGGTACTTTCCAATTGTAAATGTATTGAAACGATCTAGAGTCAAACTTTGAGGATTTTGCAGCGTTACCTTCAGGAATCGGAAGTTTTAAGCCCGTCTGTTGAGAGGTTGTGACCAGCATTTTTGTAAACTCGTCCCGCATATTAACAAGATGTATCTGCGTTATGTGTGACGGTTTGAACCTGGCATACCATTCTATTGCGTCACGAGTAAGAGTACAAAGGGTTTGGATTGTATGTGGATCATGAAGATTACCTTAAAATAAATAGATGTTCATTTACAAGTTTATAAAAAGAGATTCTTAGGGGAAAATCTTAACAATGAAAAAAAAATTTACCTGCTCCAAGAAGTGGCATAACAATTGATCGAAGGCTTTTCTTTTTCCTGCCACATGATTGCCCTGCCAGGTTGTTTACTTGATTTAGTATCCCAAATATGAAATTCTTATATTGCATATGGTGATGAAGTAGTAATGGGTTAGTTTTCGAAAAGGCAACGATAATGGCATGACAGATTTTCTTAAATTTTGTATCATATCCCAAGGTGGTTAGTATGCTATATAAAGGATATGGAGCACCTTTTTGTAACTTTTCATGTTCCTCTTTGTACTTTTTTCCTCCCTTTGAAAGAAAATTAGCTGCAATGCCACCTTTTCCTGTGAAATGTGGATTTTCACTACTAACCGCGACATCTAAATCTGATAACAAACCCAGATCGCCTGTATATATGTAAACACACACATTGCCTATCTTGGTGGTTTTCATTGAGTGTTCAGAATTTTTATTTTCCTTTGATTTTGATAAAGGAGCCTGTTCTCTGTTTAAATCGTCTTTGGTTTTCTCTGACAATTTTGATGCCTGTGTTGATGCTGTGTTACCTCTTGATGCCTTTGTTTCTCCCTCACTGTGGTATCTTACAACCAACCACGCTGGATCAATGGCTTTTTTAAAGGTTAAATAATGTTGATACTTTTCCTTAATTAGATCAAGGACGTCCAAAGATAAATCAACAATGTGGATCTCTTTAAGTGATCCGAACTTCTTCTGTTTGCTAAAATCAAAAACGCCTTTCAGATACATGGCAGCACATAGGGATTTCGGTACTCTGAAGATGCCTGTTTGAAAGAATTTTTAAAATTAAGATTCAAAAAGCATTATTAATGAAAAGTCTGAAAAATATATACTTAGTATTGCCAAATTCAATTTTTATGCCCTTGTAATTGAAGATTCGGGGGCAGTTAGTTTTTGCTCTGTCCGTCTGTTTTTTTTTCTGCAAAAACTTTAACATTGCCTATTTTAAGTGGTTGGAGCTATGGCTTTCTAAGAGTTCAATCTGTTCCCTTGGATTATCCCCAGGGATATTATTTGTATTGTTTAAATGATCTTTGAGCTTAAATACTGTTCGTTATCTCGATATTCCATTAACCTCGCCTATTTTGAGTGGTTGGAGCTATGGCTTTCATGTTTCACAGGACTATCCCTTGTGACAAGACCTTGCGTTATGTACCAACAGTTTTGACAATTTATTCTTGACTTTGGAGATTGATCTACTTTTTAGAAACTTTAACCTTGACCATAACTTTTGAATGGTTGGTGCTAGAGCTTTCATATTTCGGATGTGTATTTCTTGTGACAAAACCTTTTTTTGGTTTCATTAATTTTGACACTTGAACCATGACCGTGGAGTTTGACTTACTTTTGAAAAACTTAAATCTTGGCCATAATTTTTGAATGGTTGGTGCAAGAGGTTTCATAGTTTTCAGTTTATTCCTTGCGACAAGACCTTTCTTTGGGTACCAATATTTTTTTTTTATCTCTTGACCTCAGCTTTGGAGTTTGACTTGCATTTGAGAAAATATATTCTTTATTATGAGCTTAGAAGTGCGAGACTGATAGTTCATGTGATATATTAGGTTTTGTCAACAACATAATTGGATTTTTATTAATTTATTTTCTTTTAACTTGATTTTTGACCTTTGATCTAGGTGTTTCTTTTCATCTAACAACCATTCATCTCTGTAGAAAGTAAGAGATGGAAGGGTAAAGAAATATTAAAAAATGTTAGCTTGCACCTATATCAATGCCTTCAATCAGACACTTCGAAAGTGATAGACTTCTTCTAGGCTACCACTGATCTATCTGGCAAGTATGACATATCTGTCTTCATATAGTGTCAATAACTAAGGTCACACCTATCCTGTCTTTGACATTATCTTTGACCGTTCAAACAGACTTATTTCCGGTCAGATTTAAGGCAGGTAAGTTTGAAAATACAAAGGTGCTTTTTACCCATGGCTATATCTTTGACCTTTGGACTTCTGACATTTCAATAAATAGGACATTTCATAGCCAACATGCATACTTTTTAGAAATGCAAAACTGGAAAGTCAAGTGGAATATTTCTTATTGTTATGTTCACAGCATTGAATTAGACTCTGGACTCGCATACTAACCAGTATCTTAAATCACCTTTAAACTTTGTTGCAAGGGCTAATTAAATAAACAATAGATTATAAGTAATTAAATCTTTATGTTCACCTGAACTTATGGTCGGCATGGCAACAGCTTTGGTTTTACATTCTTTAGCCTTTTCTAGAAGGTTTGTCACTGTTTTTGCTAAATCTTTCAGACATTCCAGCTTGTTATTGTAATCTGTCCAAGAAGGTCCGACGACATGAATAATGTTTTTGAATTTTAGCTGTCCTGCTCCGGAAACAAACGCTTTTGAAACTGGAAGAGATCCATACTTTTGGATGTAGTCTTTACATTCTTTTTTCATGTCCGGGCCTGCTCTCCTGGAAATTGCAGCAGCTATACCAGCTCCATGTAACATTTTATCATTGGCAGCATTAACAATTACGTCTACATCAGTTTCTAGTAAGTCCTGAAGGTAAAGTTTTATTACAAATCCTTCAGGAGTCAATATTTCAGGGACCTCAAAGATTGCGGAATCTGGTTTACCTTCTACGCCTGTTGACGATGTAAAGGATTTTTCTTCGGTTGAAGAATCTCTATCTGTTGACTGAACGTCATCATCGTTGCAGGTTTTACCATTTTTGTTGGCTACCTCGACCTCTGACTCTTCAGATGTTTCAAAAGCTGATCTGCCAGAAGGTCCTAATGGTAGATTAAATGAATTTTTCTCAGAAGGGGAATTTCTATCCGTGGAGTGATTTTCATCATTGTCGCAGCTGTTGCTGTTGTCTTCACCTGTTTCACTCTCGGAGAGTTTCGTTATTTCTACTGTGGTGCTTGCGGGTATGGTGTCTGTCTCCTTTTTAGTCTGGGTATCATCTTCATTTTCTTCTTTGTCGTTTTTGTCCCCATTACCGACAACAATACTGCTTCCCTCTTTCTCCGATTCTTCGAGTGTATGCTCCATACTCACATTTTCTATTTCGTTCTTAACACGTGTAGTTTCACATGTATCTTTGCTATTATCACCACGATCTATTGATATATTATACCTTTCGGCAGCTTTCACGACCTCTCCTATAGTTCTGGCATAAAGAAAGCAATGTGTTTTATCTGATGACACTTCGTGACACTTCGTATGTGACATCCCCGTCACTACATATTTCTCTGAGGGCTTTATCAGCTTTCGCTTTCTCTTCAGGGTCGCCGCCTAGGTAGGTGACTTTCTCCTGTGCTAAATTTCTTCGGGTTTCTTTTTCTTTATCCATAAAACTATATGTAGGATACTAAATTTAATCTGTAAGAAGTATAATGTTTAAAGAAACTGTATTCTATATCTATTTGTTTCTATTTCGATTGGTAAAAATTGAGAGTATTATTAATATCATTGTACATGTATATGCTTAAATTAAAATAATTCGATTTTGAGTCTCAAAAAATGTAAATCATACACTTTCAATATCGTGCTAGATATAAAACTGATATCCAGTTAATTACCGTACATTCTTTTTAATATCAGGTACATTTCTTACCTGCTGAAAACAAATTTTTACTCTTCTTTCGTTTTGAAACGTACGTTTGTACTAATCAATGTATTTCAAATTCTATAGAGGGAAGGTTTAAATTTATTTTTGGCTTTTTGCCGAATGAGGGGCATTAAAACTCAGGCATAAAATGTTAACGTTAATAAGGCGGTGGATCATGAATTTTGATGAAATCAGAGACAGTATTCTACTGTTTGTTTGAATAGTTGAAAAGTTGCACTCGATACTATGTAACATTAAGCTTTCATTTCCAGAATTATTATAGTTATATTGTTAACCTTTTACCAACTTTTGTTGAAATCATTCCATATCTACAGGGAGAATAACATTTTTGAAAGATGCAAATTTGTCACAATATTGTTCATCGAAATAAAACACAAAGAACCAGAGGTGGTAGATAAATTTATTAGAATTTGATCTAAACTTTAGGAGAGGTAGCCTTTTGAAAGAATTTAACAAAATATTGTTTTACTGACCTTTAAAATATCTTTCACTGAAATCGAAAAGCAGGCGGTAGTCTGCTTATATTCCAAGTTTTATAGAAAATAAGCTAAAATTGTACGAGAAGTATCATTACTCCGAAGAATTTCATACTGAAATTTCATTTCTGATAACCATAGTAACGCCGTTCATTGAAAACAAAACCTATTTCATTAATTCAAGTAGCTTGTTGCAGTAAACTTTTGTAAATTTTATTGAAATTGGAACTAAATCATAGAACAGAAATTCATATTTTCTAAAACAATGGCAATACTGGTCAACAAAATAAAATTATATATATATATATATATATATATATATATATATATATATATATATATATATATATATATATATATATATATATATAGTAAAATAGTGAGAATCTCGTTTTTAGAACACTTGAGTCACTCTTGTGACCTATTCCTATCTGTTTTTGTCCGACGTTGTTGTCATCCGTCGTGCGTTAACATTTGAACATTTTCAGCTTTTTTCTGCAAGCAAACGCTGAACTAATTTCAACCAGTTTTGTCATAAAGCATCTACGAGTAAAGGGGAACAATATTTGTGAACTTTGATTCCCGCCTCCCTTGGCGACAAGAGGCTCGACAAAACCATCAAAATAATGTAAAACAACTTTTATTCGCGATTTATTCGAAATATCCGCGAGTTTTTACTCGCGAATAATTCTCAACGCAAACCATGACTTTTTTTGTAGAACGTCTTCTCAGTTGCGAAAATTTATCGTCGCGGATAGATTTCAAACTGACGGATCGCGAATAAAAGATGTCGCGAATAATAATTGATTTACAGTGTTGCAATCTTTAAACCTTTTTACTTCTGGACAACAAACGCTTTAACTGTTGTCATGGTTTTTTTAATAAGCATTGAGACCTCTACCAAAATTGTGAATTTCATGGCCAAAGGGTCTGGGTTCTGTAATTAGGGCGGGGCTCTAATGATTAAATAGAAAATGCATAAATTCTTCGAAAATCTTCTTCTCTACCCCTTATATATATTAAGCAGATAAACTAAGTGCATGGTTCTGTTGGACAGTGGTACCTCTTCCATAATTGTGATGGTTCTAATGTTTATATAGTGAAAATGCATTATTTCTTTGAAAATCGTCTTCTCTGCTCCTGGGTATCAAGGAAAAAACTAAGTGTATAGTTATAAAGAGCAAGTGTGCCTCTTCTAAAATTCTGAATTCCATGGCTTCGATCGGGGTCAGAGGTTCTGGTATTAGGCTGGGGCTCTATTCATTTTACGGTGAAAAGGTATTATTTCTTTGAAAATCTTCTTATCTGCTCCTGGGCATTAGGCAAACAAACTACATAAATATGATGAGCAATGGTATTTCTTCCAGAATTGTGAATTTCATGACCCTAGGATAGATGGCCCTGGTGTAGGGGCGGGGCTCCATCGAATATGTAGTGACAATAAAAGCCATTAATTCTTTAAAAATATTCGTTGCTCCAGAATATTTAGCAGATAAACTGATTCATTGCAACACAACGCACATATTATTAATCTATCTTGCCAATTTCCTCAAATGGCCCAAAGGCCTAATGGTGTCTTCTTTCATTTCCCTCCTAAATCTAGTAATTACATGTACATAATTGTGGAATTTATCTTGACTTTTCACCTTGACCTTTGAGCAAATGACCCCAAAATGTTACATGTAGGTCTCTTCCCCTAGCCACTCCCTCTACTTATGTAAAGCATTTAGTAGAATATACATGTAGTTTAAAGAATATTCAAACTTATACATGCATGTGAATTGGAAATTTTCATAGATACTACTGTGAGATGTCTTTCTCTAGTCATCCTTACACTTTATGTACATGTACTTATATTTCCATGCGGGGTCCTATGTATACTCTCCACATATCTCTCAATTACAGAATTTAGCTCTCATCTGATTAACAATACATTTTCCCTTATTTCATATGTATGTAGGATGATGAGCGGTTGATATACATGTATTAGAAAACAAAACAATGTACACATCCTCATAACAAAAGATGTACTGATAAATACGGTTACAGCAAAAATCTTACAGAAAAATCACGCTTGCAGCAAAGTCACTTTTCTAAAACGTATGATAAATTTCTCGGATAGAACGACTAATACTTGGTTGATTCACTGGCACTTCGCTATAACCGTGTAACCCAGGTAATATGTATTAAAACACACGAGGACGAAAGTTCAAATGTTTTTAGCTGACAAATCAGTCAACCTGTACTAGAAAATGAGACAATGTTTAAAAAAAAGAATATTAAAACATGTAGAAAACGCTATCAATGACATAAAAATCTAAACAAGAATCTCTCTCTTTTTCGTTCTCTCTCTCTCTCTCTTCGTGTGCCCAAAATAAATAAATGCTCTCCTTACTGATAGAAAAAAAAAACGTAAAATGTGACATCAAAAAAAATATCATAGGAAAACAAATATTCGTTCAGATATAAAATTAAATAATATAGACTGATATTAACAATGACCCTCTCTCTCTCTGTGTGTGTGTGTGCTTAAAAAATAGCCGAATGGACGAAAGTCGTAAATTTGAAAAATCTTTAAGTACTGAATAAATTTATGCAATTTATGCATAAGTCAAGACAAATTAATTGTTTTTATTGAAACCTCAAGTCAGAGTAACTCAAATCAAAGACTCAAACTACTTCGTTAATCTGTCTGCCTTATTGCTGTTCCCTATCGTCTCTCTCCGTGATTCCTTTGGCTTCCAGTTCCTCACGGACACGCAGTAGATAATCTGGGTCTGGATATCCAAACCTACAGGGAAATGTTTCTAATTAGTACTTAATATCAATGTTTTTAATCATGCAAATTTATTTAATAATATGATGGTCATGAGTATAAGTTTTAAATCTATCAACAAAAAACATAAAAAATATAAAAATGTACACAAATCTAAACGTAAAAGCTTTTATACATAGTTTGAAATATACGCAACAAGATGAATACACAAATAAACGAAAATTTCTGATTTTCTGACATGAAACGGAGTAAGACTAATAATATAATTTTGTAGGGTTTTTAACCTCTCAGGACCTCCATTAGGTCTGGTTTTGTGATGTATATCATTCCAAGTAACGACATTACTCTGTCCTGTTGTTCTAGATGATCCTACAGTAAATATTAGACCCTGCTTGAAGGCTCTCTCTAACATACGTAAAACAGCCGTACCCTCCTTGGTAGCAGGGAGGAATGCTAAGCGGCGAGTCCCTTTGTAAGGCAAACCTGGATGTGGATGGCAATCCTGAAATATTGAACCATTCAACTATTTTTAATGATTTAAAATAACAGAAATTACCGAACACTTTTTTTCACGTAAGGGACCATTTTGAATTCTACCCTACCCAAGTCCGTTTGATGTATTTTAGAAATACGTTTTTCATCATGAAAGAAGAATAACACAATCCTAAAATTTTTCAGACTGCTGTTCGTCAGAAACACAAAATTATTTATCAGTGTATAGATTATTTGTATATTTATTCGGGTAAAATATTATGAACAGTATATCATGCCACCGTGCATAGCTGGGATTTGGATATTTTTCCTTTTAATAATTTAAAAATTATGCAAAGTAAGGTAATACAGTTTCTAATTTAGCAGACCTCCACCCCCATTATGCCTTTACTGTGTTTTTCAATCCTGCTTTCGTTTTAGCAAAGGATCTCACTGGAAATATACGTGATCGTTTTGGAATGTTAACTCGTTGATATTTTGTGTGTCTATTAAATAAATCGTGAAATGTGTTCATCATCAATGATGAATAGAGAACTACATGTACATGTAAATACATGTATTTGTCTTTACGTTAGTGTGCATATGCTGCATACAATATTATAAATCAGTAGAGATCTATTCTCTAAAGTTTCGTGAAATTAACATTATATAATTCCAAATGTTGCGATACGTGAAAATATTTGAATAGGTTGCTTTTATGTATCCCTTACTTGGCATTATTATGTTATAATAGGTTTGTTTGTCTTAAGTTTTGAAATTAAAGCTAAGTATAATGTCCTTTAGTCCTTACCAATTGAACTCCATCCGGGAATTCATAAAGAATTTCCCAAGTGTCAGACTTGGGGTATCCTGGGAGAGAGTATTTTTCTTTGAAAATTGTTGCTGTCCCTGTTTGTGGTTGATCTCCATAAATTTTCCCATAGACAGTATTGCAAACGGGGCATGCGGTCTTTCTCGAAAAAAAATCGCCAATGCACTCCTCACAGAATACATGGTGGCAGAGATTAAGCTCTACGGGTTTGGTGTGTGGTTCCAAACAGATGACACAGGTATCCAAAGACTTCTCTGTTGGACTTTGGAAATATGTTTTAATATTTGGTGGACTATTCTTTCTGGATTCCATTGTCCATATTTCTACATGTTTGTTATCCTTATCCTTGGTAGAAGTTTTGTGTTGACTGAGATCAGCTGAGGCAGGTCGTGCCGTAGGTGGGAATGGTCTTGATTGCCTGTATTTTTCAGCTGATCCTGCCATGAAGACGTTGATGAATGCTTCATTCGTATTGTCATTGAAACTGACCAAGTGGATTTCATTAAGAGCGACTTCATCACTACGATTCATATAACTGTCAATGGCGAAATACACGGACCAGCAAAGCATTTCTAAATGACGAGGTTCTGTCATCTTTCCTAAAAATTGCGAATCAGGAAACAGTTGTGTTGATGAAATTTTTTTCAAATTCTAAATTAAAAAAAAAAAAATAAAAAAAATAAAATATATAAATAAAAAGAAAAAAAAAACTTACCAGCCCCTAATAGAGGCATTGCAAGAGAGTTAGGGTGCGCTGCAGATTTCTTTTTTACAGGTGTTATAATATCGTCTGCGTGGTTCAAAACATGATACACCGTATGCTGCAACTCAAGTAATTCATCATCTTGTGGAGCTCTTTCATGAAGAAAACGAGATATTATTGCAAGAATCACATGCTGGTAATTAAGTTTTCCTGCGTGCAAAACGCATGTGGTCCCTACTTTGAGATATTTTTCTGTTTTGCTTACATTTTCCTTAAGTTTCTTCAAGTCTTTCTGGTACAGCTGACCAGCATTTTTAAGAATGCTTTGGGCAAGAGCTCCAGATCCCGTCACTCCTTTATTTTCAGAGCATACAAGTATCCCAATATTTTTAAGAGAAACAATATCCCCTTTGTATATAAATATCTTCAGCTTTCTGTCCATTTCAAATGAGATTACTCCTTTGTCATTTCCTACAAAGTGACATCGTGATTGATTTAAAGACGCCTCTACATTGTCTTTTTTGTTCACTGACTTTGTGCCTGGTAGACATTGTTGAGCGAAGCGTCGCATGACGTCATTAGGGTTTAGACTTTCGCGTTTCTGCAGAGAAGTGTGATATGCAGATGCCGTTAAGTCTAAGATATTGTTGCTTGGATCCAAATCAACCAAATGCACTTCTCGTAGTTTCCTTCTCTGTTTTTCGCCGAAATCAGTGATCGCTTTCACGTACATTGGAGCACACACCTCCGCAGGAACTCCGAATATTCCTATCAGGAAGGGAAAAAAATATTTAATAGATCAACTGCGTTTTAGTCTTAAACTGAATGATAATTTTTTCCTTAAAGTTAACGTAAATCAAAAGTTGATAATTGATTAATGGCATGAAGGTTCTAATTGACACTGTTTGCAAATTATCCACTAAGTTTAACAAATACCTGGTATGGGATAAATCAGTTATCATACCTGAACTTATAGGTGGAATGGCAACTGAAGACATCTGTGTCTTTTCTGCTCTTTCCAGTATATTAATGACTGTTTTTAGAAGATCCTCTAAACATTTTACCTTTTTCCCTTTATCATAATTTGTCCAATCTGGTCCGACAGCGTTTATGATGCATATGCACGGAAGATCTCCGGCACTAGTCACCACGTTTTCTGTTACTTTGATTGTTTTCTTTTCTGTTATATTTCTTTTACAATCGCCTTCAAAGTCCTTTCCTGCGGCTTTAGAAATATGTAAAGCACAACCTCCATTATTCAACAATTTTTCATTTGCTGGGTTAACTATTGCATCCAGGTTCAATTTCGTAATATCTGCAGTGTATATTCTAAAAATCAATCCACTTTTAAGGGGAACGTCTAGTTTATATGAAATTTTCAGGGGCTTTGACATCTGACTTGTACCAAAAGAATCGTCATTTGGTAAATGCACTAACGGATCCAATGACAAAGAGTTCTTTACTTGCTTGTCTGATTTTTCCCTTTCCTCTACTTTTCTCCTCTCCTGTGCTTTTTCAGCTTTAAGGCTTTTTGTGAAGGAACGCGATTTCGTTTCAAGATCATCAACTTGTCGAGAAAGATCCCCTACAGTTCCCATGCTTGGTTTCTCGTCCACAGAACGTTTAACGGAAGTGTTGTCAGGTTGGGACTTACTGATTTCAGAAAAGGGGGATTTTTTTATCGTTTTATTTCCCATTTTTGTTTCACCAGCGCTCATCTGGTCTGTTCTGCCCAGTATTTCACTAAGTCTTGCCATGCAGTCCCCAGCACCGTTATCTGATTTTTTAAATTTCATACGAAATACTTGCGATTGATGAGATTTGGATTCCCTGAAAAATATTTTTTTTCTTTTCAAATAATCTCGTATTTTCTTTTGATTGTCCTCCTCTATTTCTGTTATAACTTTTTCATGGGTCAGTGTTTCCAACCAGCTAAGCAATTTATTTTTCACACCTTCTACAGTTTTATCCCCCTGTGTTTTAGTTTGTATAACCACTTTTGCAGGCGACAGAAAGGTTTGAATGTGAAAATCTTTTTGTTTCTTATTTAAATCAGCAATTTCATCTTTAAAAAGCGCAAGTAATTCTTCAGCATGGTCCTTTTCAATGGTTTTCTAAAACAAAAACTATACATACAACATCAAATAATTCATTTCAACAGTTTAACAAAGATGAATACGAAGTAAATAATTTTAAGAGCTTTGGATTATAATTTTTAGAAAGATGTATTCTCATAACTGCAATACGTTCTTTTTCCACTATGGAAGAGTTATACTTCTTAGTGAGCTCTTTTGTGAAAAAGTCGGTAAATGTACAAATCTCGCGGGATTTCAGGGACAAACGTAACGTAAACATGTAAACAGTATGTTGAATGTCGATGAACAAATCCTAAGAAAATGCAAATGAAATATTTTATTGTTGTGGACTTTATATACATCAAGAGTAGGAATGACAACGATATCAATTTATATCTATATTGTTGATCGTATGTATCTATTTATCGTATGCTACATCTAAATACAATATACATGCCTCGGAAATGTCGTATTTTTAATTAATGGATAATAAATTTAGGGTTCTCGCTCTCTTACATATGTCTTTTAGTTCTTCCATTCTTTAATTGGAATGACAAATGCATTTAACATTAAAAATTGGATTGAGATTGGCATGTTTTGTATTATCCGCAACGCCATGCTGTCCCTGTCAGACGACCAAACGCGCCTCTAATTTTGAAGAGTTCACTAATGGAAATATAACGTATTAAGGGTGTGTGCAAAACGAATTTAACGCGCGTAATGTTTACCTTGGAGATACAACCTAAAATCTGCTTAATATTTAGATTGACATTGCTTGATATGCAAGTAATATATCTATAAAAGAAATCAAAAAGTACCATTCCCCTTTAAACGATGAAAATTTTCTGCAGGTACGTAGTAACGGGGGGGGGGGGGGGGGCTGCCCCTTCACATTTTGTCTTCAACGATAAAGTTTTATTGTTAATTTACTTTGAAAATGTTCATTTCAAATCCCCCCTTACTTTTTTGTAGTGTATTGGAGTGAAATCTAGTACCTATATGGGTTTAAAAATATTTAAAATTTATAGTTAATAATTGAATTCTGTTCTGAAAGTTAGGAATTATATCACAGAGATTCAAAGATTATTTGCCATCTCTTAGCTTACTATTCCAATGTTCTCTCTTCTTGAAGAGGTAAATGTCCCACTCTTGCCAGACATAATGGAAATATTTCACTGAAGAGGAGGAAGTTATAGCCTGTAAACAAACAAGACATACACAACAAATGGTTACTCAACTCGCCCCCCCCCCCCCCAAATAAAAATTTATGAATATCATTATGTATGATGTATGCCAGGCATTCTAATTGATCATTAAATCAGATATGAAAGCACTCAATCTCGTATTTTTATTTTTTAGCTCAGATACGCCGTATATACATGTAGCTATAAATATATACCGACTGACATCAAAATTTGTGCAGAGGTCTCAAATTCCTGCTGATGAAGAATAAATATCCAAAATAATTGAATATCTGTGTGAGTCAGGACACGACACCCCAAACTAGAGTTTGTTTTTCGCGATCATAATATAACAAAACGATATTTTTTTTTCTCATTCTCCTAGGTATACTGTCTCCTAGGTATACTGTCTTTCTTCGAGAAACAAAACGAAAGTTATTTGGGATTTTCCCCGAAGTACTTTTGCTAATTTTTTTTTTAAAGAAAACAGCGGCAGATATATTGATGTGAAATAAGTAAAATCATTCTTTATTTTGTTACTGATACTTTTTATTACTCGAATAAATTTGCATGTTATGGATTGAAGCGGAGTCCTTCGCTTTTTGCCGATTGACAATGACGCCCTAATCGGGTTCGGAAACAAAGGGATCAAAACGAAAGTAGAAATACTTGGAATCGAGAGATAATCATACCATAACGCGGAGACTGCAGGAAAGGATAAGTGTTAAATGGTATATTTTCTTGCCAGAGCTAGTTCATAGTCACCACTGAGCAGGTGCCAATCTCATCCCTGCTGATAAAAGCATTGCTAAAGTTCAAATTCTGAATATAGTTTCGTTTTTGTTTGTAGCGAACATGCTCGATTTATGAATGGTTTGGCATCTTATATGTACAACTTGAATCGATGATGACAGCTGAAATTTACGAAAGTTTGATTGAAATTTTACGGTGACCTTTTGTCAACCCGGGACAGAACATGGAATGCTATTTGAGAACAGGGACGTATATACACATGTATATACAAATACTATATAGTGTTTACGTCCCTGTTGTACATGTACGTCCCCATTTCTTTCTTTCTTTTTTGGGGGGGGAAATGTGTAATTAAATATTATATTATAGCTTTTTTCCCTTTGGAATGATTTTTAATCTTGAAATTAATTGAGAAAAAATCATTTCAGCAAAATAATTGTTTTTTTATATGATTCACTGATTAAATGACACAAACTCATTAAGCAATACATGCCATCTTACTTGTTTACATTTACTGAAATACTAGCCAAACATAATAAGAAAAATGGGGTTAAAATAAACAACATAACCAGTTGTATCAATTTGGAATTTTAATTCTATTTCAGGTGCCATGTAGAAAAATAAATTTCAGGCATGTATGTAGGATCGATTTTGAAAAAAAAAAGCAGGGGCATGAAAAGGGGAAAATTTGACAACTTACCTGAAAAAAATCTGTGATAAGCCCCCCCCCCCCTTAAAAAAAGAGGAGGATACTCCCAAATCAAAATTTTATGTGGTGGGATGTTACTGTCCAAAAATGGGGGGAGGGGCTTTCATTGAATATTTTTATCCTTAAGATTTAAAAATTTACCTTAAATTCTCAGGGTGGGGAGAGGCAGTGGCAGATTCAGGGGGGTATGGGGGGGTGGGTGGGTGGGAAACACCTCCCACCCAATCAAAAAAAAATTTTTAGAAGTGTCATTTAAACAATATCTTTCATAAGTGAGCCATTCTTTTACACAAAGAGGTGAAATATACAGCCACCACGAGAAATCCCTTTATGCTTGAGCACTCACAATATACAGGTAATCAACAGTACAGAGATCATGATAGTCCATGCAGCTAGTGATGACACAAGGTAATACACTAACAACCAAAACTGCACATAGTTATTACGGTATTGTTTTGGTATTGTTAAAGTAATACCGGGTATTCTTTCATGAATTTTCTTTCTTCGATAATTGAATGTTACTTTATTTACTTGAATAAACTGTGGTTATTATTATTATTACTTAAAAAAAACAATCAGGGACGTACATACTATAGTATAAACGTCCCTGATGCAGTATTTTCATGACATAACTATATTGGGAAAGTAGACCCTTTGAGACTTTCAAGACTTTTTTCTAAACATTGGGCTAGTACATGTAAGTGGGTAAAAAAAAAGAATTAAAGAGTGCATTTATGTTAGAAATAATTATAATTAACCCCCCCACCCCCACCCCCCCCCCCCCCACCCCCCAGAATAAGCAATTATTCCAACATTTTGCCAAAATGATTTATATTTATTCTTCAATATGAAATATTATTTGTTTTTATTGCAAATTATATGAACAGTATTGTCAAGTAGTTGAAAAGAGTAATTAGGGTTTCTACACAGAATCCAAATTTTCTAAGTGTTGGGAAATGGCACATCAGTTGTATTTTGGTAGTCAGAGCTTCACATGCGACACATTGGATGTGCATTTTAAAGTAAAGAATTGGATTTTATATATCAAATGGCGATATTTCTAATTTTATCTGATTTTACATGGATTGATTGATTTATTGTTTTTTTTTTGTTTTTTTTTGTTTGTTTTTTTTTTTTTTTAGAAAAGTCTCATTTTTCATGTTTACATGGAAGTTGAAAATAAATCCCAAAATTTTAATTTTTTGTTCAAATTCTTGAAAATTTGGGTAGGTTGGTTTTGAAAAACAAGTGGCAAAAAACTAATTCATTCAATGTAAAATGCTGGAAAATGCACCATTTGGAGTTATTTTTCAAGAAAATTTCTTGGGAGAGGACCCCCGAACACCTTTAGGAGGGAGACACCCCTCCCATTCCCTCCCCCTTTGGCCCTAAGGGCCTCAACCCCCCCCCCCATAAGAACTTCTGGATCCGCCACTGAGAGGGGCAGGCCCCCTGCAACACCCCTCCCACCACACACACATACACCCTCCCCTCACCCAAGATTCTATGTGCCTTAATGTCATGTTCATATGAGTGCAAGTGAAATAACTTTCCAAAACTATTTGTATCAGTTTGGAATTTCCCGATCTTTTTTAAGTCTAATGTGGAGAAAAATAAATCTTTATATTCACCATGTGCAGGTGAAAATAACATAGTATTTTTAGCTCACCTCAACAAAGTTTAGGGAGCTTATGTAATACCCTCGGTGTCGGTGTCGGCGTCCCAGGTTAAAGTTTTTGGAGCAGTTTACTTTTCAAGTACTTCTATGCCCTATATCAATCAGGGATGCATGGAGGATGCTTCTAGTGTGTTTCACTGTACCAGTCAAGGTTTCAGATGCTGCAATTTCAGCAGAAGAATGACCAGGTTGATGTTTTTGGAGCTGGTTAAAGTTTTTGGTGCAGGTTAAAGTTTTTGGAGCAGGTCTCATTTCCAAGTAACTATAAGCCCTATATTGACCAAACTTGCATGGATGATACATCTAAGGATGCACAATACTGGACTTGCTTCAGATGCTGGATCTGACCTATATTTTCTGGATGAGTGATTAGGTTAAAGTTTTTGAGCAGATCTCATTTCCAAGTAACTATAAGCCCTACCTTGACCAAACTTGCATGGATGATGCATCTAAGGATGCACACTACTGGACTTGCTTCAGATGCTGGATCTGACCTATAATTTCCGGATGAGTGACTAGGTTTAAGTTTTTGGAGCAGATCTCATTTCCAAGTCACTGTAAACCCTATATTAACCAAACTTGCATGGATGATACGTCTAAGGATGCACACCACTGGACTTGCTTCAGATGCTGGATCTGACCTATATTTTCTGGATGAGTGACCAGGTTAAAGTTTTTGAAGCAGATCTCATCTCCAAGTAATTGTAAGGCCTATCTGAACCAAACTTGCATGGATGATGCATCAAGGGATGAACACTCTCAAATTTGCTTTAGATGCTGGATTTGACTTACATTTTCTGAATAAATGAATAGTTAGATAAGTCCATTCCCAAGCAGCAAGCCATATCAGACCAAAATTGCATAAATGTTGCATGCACTACTAGATTATTAGTTTAGTGTTTTACTTTGCCTTACTTAAAGACAACATTCGCTGAGGTGAGCTCTGTAATCTCTGATTACCTATGTTTTCTACAATATGTTGGATCTCAGCCAATCAAAAAGACAGGAATTATTGAATCATATAATAATAAACAATGAAAGACTCTTTTGGTGGTGAATATGGTTTAATGTTCACCAAAAAATATCTCAGATTCAGTATTGATCGAGAAGAAGCTGAGATCAATATTTGACATTTTTCTGGTGAATACTACCTAAAATCCAGTGAATACCGGTAAACTGCATATGCAAAGTTACGAAATGTTTGCATTTGTAAAAGTTATAGAGGGACTATAAATAGACTATACAATAATACTTGATGCTGAGAATAATTAAAAGCACTCACTTATGAACTAAAAAGTCATGGAGGTAATTTGATATACAAGAAAATAATGTTTGTGAGGTACGTGATGCTTATTATCAACATGATCAAGATCTGATGGAGTAAATGCATTCAGAGAAGCTGCAAAGTTTTTCAAAACCATTATTCACAAGTTCTGAAGAATGCTTAATAAAAAAAGTTTGGAAATTTGTTCTATTGATTACACATATTAAGTTGAGGTGGGATGGGGGTGGGGGTAATCATGTCCTCACAACAGGACATCTTTTTGTTGATTCTGCTTCAAATAAGCATAGAATGGTACATCAACTTTGATAAAATAATGTTTTGAACTAATTGGATTGCTCCATTTAAGAACTTGGCATGGGTTACTTTGAATTATCGTTCAAAGTGTATGGCTTTTTTCCTCAAAATATTTTTTTCTGTTGTGTTCAATATCATTAGATGACAAAGTTTATATTTGCATATATATATATATATATATATATATATATATATATATATATATATATATATATATACATATATATATATATATATATATATTTTCATGCTACATGCTAAAAGTGCATGGTGTTAAAAAAGTAGAAGGAAATTCAGCTCTCAATATCTCTTAAAATATGCTTTCAACAACGTTTATTGTATTCAGTATTTTAATAAATAAGGTTATAAATAATATTTTTCATGAAATTACAATTTTTGAAAGATCATGCGATAAGTCCTTTAAGGAATCACTGTCTTGTTTGTTGTGTATGCCAGGGTATCAATGGCAGTTGGATATTGGGATAATTATCCCATATTTCCAACTGTCGTTGATGTCCCTGGCAAAGCCAACAAACAAGACGGTGATTCCTTATATTTACATATGTGTGAAATAAAACTGAAAATGTAAAGAGCTAGGTTCACTTTGATGCATAAAATGGCCCTGTCCTTATACCAATTAATTGACTATCACCCTCTGTCCCATTTCATATATCAAAATAAAGTAGAGACTTAGTGCTTTAATTCATTTCCTATTACAAAATTTCTTTTTGAGTATTGAGGTATTGGAAAACAGCTAGGCTTTTAGAAAATGCAATGTTCTTGAATTTTGCAGAAAATATGCATATTTGACTACCTTTAGCAAAGAACTCAAATATGAGCACAGCCCACAATCCAAAAAATAAAAAAATGTTTTGTGATCTTCAGAAACAGATCTTTCATTATATAATTGCATATTTTGGATTAGAGGTTGTGCTCAATATGAAATATTTAAAAAATACTTCAACTTTTGGCCATTTTTAAGTGAATTTACAGGATATGGGAAAAATGACGCATTTTATGACGTCATAATGCATTGACTAGAGAGAAAATTACATCATGTTCAATAGATACACGTCACCAAGGGTCCCATGTTATATAAATACTCATTTTCAATGAAAACTGTACAGTTTTGATTTTTTCAGAAATTCTCAGGGCCAAAAAAGGCCCTAAGTGGCTCTTGCTCTTTAAAATCCTGTCTAAATGATTTAAAATACACGAGGTATTCCATGTTAATTTCCATAGTCCCTGCCCACTGACATCAGACACCAAGATAGCTGCGCAAGATTGACATTTGGCTTCTGACCTGTCACTTGGCAAAATTTACATTCGCTTGTACTTATCAAGTAATTAACTCACCTAACTTTCAAAGAGTTATCACAGAAAAAACAATTAGAAATGTAAATATATTGTATATATAATATGTAACATGAATTTGTAAACCCAATATTATAACTCTTAATACTTAAAACATGGTTAGAAAGGAAAATGACCTCTTGCAGTGAATGTATGTGTCTATTTTCAGTCAAATGTGTGTGGAAAGCTTTTTGATCTAACTTGATGATGGACACAGCTGATAAAGAAGAACCAATGGATGTAGATGACCAATGTCCATCAGGTACAAGTATTAATCATTAAACTGAAGTTTTTAAGAGTTGCTTTGGTGAAGGTATACCTTTATGTATTATCTGTATATTAAGTCATAGGCTATTTGTTATACCTACATGTTTTTATATGAAAAGATCATGGTGGGTATATAAATTGTTATCTTTGTCTGTCCATAAGGTTGTGTATTTTCTTTTCATGTCTCGATCTACCTTTCCTACAATTTTAGCTCACCTCAGTCACCTGTCTTAAAATCACAGCTGAACAAGGGCAGCTTCCCCTGGAAAATGTCGTCATGTATTCCAAAAATGAACAATACTATCCCAACTGCTGTGGAGATTTCAATGTTAAATTCTTTCCCATAATGGACAAAAAAGGCTGCTTTTAAAATATGGATGAAAAAAAATTGCCAGAGCCAGGGGATCAAATGAGCTCATGTAATCTTAGTTTATCAGATTGTATGTTCGTATACGGGTATATATGTAAGTCTGTATATAATATGCACATGTATGATTGTGTTGGATTCTTCAGAATCACTGGACTAATATGAACCAAACTAATGCTACAAAAAGGCCTTGTATAAAAGGGATTCATGTATGTTCAGGTGAAGGGATTTATCTTCTCCTATTATCGTGATAGAAAGATGTCAGTCTAAGAAAGAGTAAATCCTCCATGTAATAGGTGTTCTCATTTAAAAATTTTCTCAAGAATATACATGCCAACCTCTGTATATGTATCTGTGTATATAGGATGTGTGTCCCTTGTCAATGCAACAAGGTGGGGGGATTTGTGGTTTGACACAGTCCAAAGTTCAAAAAAATACTTCAAAGTTTTACACTTAGCTGTTTCAATCCAAAACAAACTACTTCTAATTGTAACTGGAACTGTTACAGATATTACGCACACAGCTCCCAAACTCCTTTCAGGTACCCCATTTCCTAGAAGCTTCATTAAATTACACTTTATTTAATTTCCACAGTAATTGCAATATATTTGTACAAGTCAATCAAATTTCAGTTCATGTGCTTGCACATGTTTTCTAGATTTTTCACATATATTTTCCTATTAGTATCTCACAATATATACCTATTTGTTTAAATATTCAAGAATTTCATTGAAAAATAAAAGATATATTATCATAAGTATCAAGCCAATCAGAATTCAGCGCATGTGTGTGCATGTCTTTGCATTCGGTTTTAATAGCAGCATAATGTAAGGATGCTTTATACATATATGTACATTCTAAATTTCATCCTGTTTTGTTCAAAACTAAGAATTTAAATTATAGCAAATTCAAGTTTCAGCCAATCAAATTGCAGCACACTTATATGTGCATGTTTTCAAGTGTTCTACAGGTATATATATCATTGTCTTAGAACCTCATAATATATGCCTATGCTTTAAATTTTAATGTATTTTGTCAAAAAATAAGGAAGTTATTGAGATTTTGGTCCCAGCCAATCAGAGCAAAGTGCATCTTCATGCGTATGGTTTCTTGCTACATGTAATTCAAGCACATCTTGTCTGTACCACTGATATTAGTTTATATACTGAGGTTCAGAGCATATCCTCAAAAATTGCATGCATGCCCATGCACACATGCAAAATGACCTTTGTTCCGCACGTCTACACAACATGCCTGAGAATCCTAATTAGGTTTCATCTCATTCGGATGAGTAGTTTCTGAGGACACTTGCAGGCAAAAAAGTACTGGAGAAAAATTTAAAAAAAAAAAAAAAGGAAGAAGGAAATGTTCCCAAATGTCTTTTAACTAGCTTGACTTTTTATGAGGGTGTTGGGAAAGTTCATGGACTTCTGTCATAACTTTTTTACTTAACTTCATATTATATCCAAATTTGATAGAAATGTATTAGCAATTAATTTGAATGATGTGTATTAAATAAATTAAAATATCCTAGTTTATTTCAGACTTATTCAGAGTTAAAATCTGTGAAAATCGGATCACAGAGCAGGTCAAAATTTAGAAATTTACAAACAATACACTATATAATGTCTGTAGCCTTATTCTCTGTTCAATGGCACAGAAATGAAAAAAATTTCTAGACATTCAGATAAAGAATTGTAACATAATTTTTTATTAAAGTTATTACTTAATATTTTGTTTCGTTGAAAAGAAATCAATTTCAAAAGATAGGTAGTCCTCATTGTAAAAAGGCAAAAAAAGATGACGTCGTAGAACGTCATGTAGCAGCAGTTAACAACATAATGTGTTGTACTCTGGAAAACTTCAGAAAAGAACTTTGCAAAATGATGGAGGAAGCAGGGAATATGTCAAAAGCAAGTTGTGCCTGTGTGTGCAAATGGCACAGCTGGTATATGAATGATAGAGACTCTGCATCACAGGAAGACGATCTGTGAGAAAACGGATATCTAGCTGTAAAAATCTGATCAAAAACATTAAAAAGCTAGTAATTAAGTCATGGAAAGAGACAGGCCCTTCACAGTGGCTAATCTTTGAAAAGCACAGTTACGCTGTAAAAAAATTATAACATTGACATTTATAATTATGCTATTGGAAGAAATGTTAGCAAAATAAATTTCAAGTGAAAGAGAAACATTTTGAATGAGTGAGTATTGGGACATACTGTGTGAAATGTATAAGGATTGAGAGTATATTTGTGAACCTCATGATGCTATGTTTTTGACGTTACAATGTTGTTGAGGCTGTTCCGTGGTACCAAAACATGATGATTTTAAAGTTAAGTAACATTCTTTCTATTAAATCAAATGGAATGAAACTTCACACATCAACAAAATAAATATTTTTACATGTATTAATGTGCTTATTTTAAATTTCTTGAAAAAAGTATAACAAAGATTGACATGGTCCCTGAACTTTCCGAACAACCCTCATACATAATATGAATAAAGAAGGATAATTATGTTCTCTGTACGTGTAAAGCAAAAGCATATAAAATTTTACTTTTGCATTACAGGTCCTCCATACAAATGGGTGAGTATATTTAAATTGTTTATGTCAGCACATTTTAGTTGCTCAAGTCCAGGTAAGCTATTACGTAGGTAAATTATCTATGCTGGATTTGTGAAGATGTGTTTTTAGCTCTTCTGAGCCAAAGGCTCAAAGAGCTAATGCTATGGCCATTTGTGCGGTGTGAGGTGTGCGGTGTGCGTAAACTTTTTAGAATATGGGCCATAACTCAAGAACCCCTTGGCCAATTATTGTCAAATTTGTCACAGGGTATCCTTGGCCCAAGGGCTCCCTTTTATACTAAAACTGGGGTTGTGACCCTTTAACAAGGGGAGATAATTAGGAAAATAGAAACAAAAGTACTGGTTGCTAAAAAATCTTCTTCTCAAGAACCACTGGGCAGATTATCACCAAACTTACACAAAAGAATGAGGATATGTTGTAGATTAAAATTTGCACGGGGATTTACCCTGGGGCAAAGGGCGTGGTCTCAAGGTCACTTCAAAGTTGACCAAAAATTACATTTTATTAAAATGTTGATATTTTGCTGACTAGAAGGACTAGGATCATCAAATCTTGTCAGTTGATGCATCTAAGGACCTCATATCATGTTGACTCAAAAGTAGGTCACGGTGACCTATTTTTTAAATTTTGCGGCCATTCTTTTTCAAAATGATTTAGAGGCATATTTTGAACAATTTAAGGCCTATAATCATCAAACTTTGTCAGTTGATGCATCTTGGGTCCTCAAAGTACGTCAACTAAAAAGTAGGTCACCTTGACCTACTTTTTGAATTTTATGGCTAATCTTTTTTAAAACAATTAAGGTCATTAATTCGAATACGGGGAGGCTTAGAATCATTAAATCTTGTAAGATGATGCATCTTGGGGCCATAAAACATATTTATTAAAAAGTAGGTCACAGTGACCTACTTTTTGAACTTTGCAGGCATTCGATTTCAAAGCATTTTAGAGGCATAATTTGGACATTTTAAATCCTATGATCATAAAACTTTGGAAGTTGATGCATCTTGGGTCCTCAAAAAAGGTCAACTGAAAAGTAAGTCACCGTGACCTACTTTTCAATTTATATGACTATAATTAAATATTTCAGGTACTAATTGGCTTAGAATCATCAAACTTTGTCAGTTGATGCATCTTGGGTCTTTGGAGTAGGTCGACTAAAAAGTAGGTCACAGTGACCTACTTTTGAAAATTTATGGCGTTAATTAAATATTTCGGGTACTAATTGGCTTAGAATCATAAAACTTTGTCAGTTTATGCGTCATGGGTCCTCGGAGTACAACAACTGAAAAGTAGGTCACCGTGACCTACTTTTGAAATTTTATGGCTGTATTTAATATTTTCAGGAATTATTTGGCTTAGAATCGTCAAAATTTGTCAGTTGATGCATCTTTGGTCCTCGGAGTAGGTTGACTGAAAAGTAGGTCATTGTGACCTACTTTTGAAAATTTATGGCTTTAATTAAATATTTCGGGTACTAATTGGCTTAGAATCATCAAACTTTGTCAGTTGATGCGTCATGGGTCTTCGGAGTAGGTCGACTAAAAAGTAGGTCACCTTGACCTACTTTCGGAAAATTTATGGCTGTAATTAAATATTTCGGGTACTTATTGGCTAGAATCATCAAACTTTGTCAGTCGATGTATCTTTGGTCCTCGGAGTACAGCAACTGAAAAGTAGGTCCAGTGACCTACTTTTGAAAATTTATGGCTTTAATTAAATATTACAGGTACTAATTGGCTTAGAATCATCAAACTTTGTCAGTTGATGCATCTTGGGCCCTTGGAGTAAAACAATTGAAAAGTAGGTCACTTTGACTTACTTATAAAATTTTATGATTATAATTTTAAAAAATATTTTAGGTATTAGTTGGCTTAGAATCATCAAACTTAGTTGATGGGTCCTCAGAGAATGACAAGTGATAAGTAGGTCACCATGACCAACTCTCAGGTACTAATTGGCTTAGAATCATCTTGGGTTCTCAGAGTGTGAATTGGAATTTCAAGGGTTTATGTAAATATACAGGATACTTCGAGGCTTCAAATAGAAGTGATAGGTTGTACAGTTTATCAGAAGAGCGATTCAAGGCCCATGGGCCTCTTGTTTTTTCTGTTTTACTTTATCATCTCAAACAATGAGTTTCAATATTTTTGTCATTTTATAGTTTTTGAGTTCACCTGAGCAAAAAGCTTAAGTGAGCTTTTCTGATAGAAATTTGTCCAAGTGGTTATAAGGGTGAAGCTGGACTAGGATTTAATTTTACTCAAAGAATATGAAGAAATTTAAAAAAAAAAAAAAAAAAGTGTGTTCTAGAGTAGCATAGCCACACTAAAACATATTTGATATGCAAACATTCCGAAGTGGTTTTTTTCTCGAATTCATGAGATTAAGGTGGGGATGAATTTTACATTATGCATTTATGCAGAAAAGAATTTCTCGGGTCATATTGAAGCATTACCATGTATGTCAATCTCCTATGCAGAGTTGTCGTTCGTTCCTTTCTCAGACACTTCTGCAATGGGCACGCGTCAAGATTTTTGACGTAACGTAAAAAGCATAACGCTTCAAAAATTATTTTAAATTAAACTAATAGTTTTATATTTATTTAGTAAATATCTATCTTTAAGGACTATCATTAGCTCAGACATTTGATTATAATGAATTAAAACAAACGCACTATTTCTCATGCTTATCACTGTGATATACGCGAGCCAACGACAGAGGTGAATGTATGAGCCAATGGTAGAGAGTGCATATATGTAGCTAGAGTGGGGATACAATATAGGGACAAAAAATCATGGGAACAAAGAAGAGGGGGATCTTTTAAAAGTCCTCTGAGGAAAATCAGGGCCATGGTATCTCAGATGAGCATTAATCATGTTGTTTTGTTAGCTCTTCTGAGCCAAAGGCTCAAAGAGCTAATGCTATGGCCATTTGTGCAGTTTGCGTAAACTTTTTAGAATATGGGCCATACCTCAAGAACCCCTCGGCCAATTATTGTCAAATTTGTCACAGGGTATCCTTGGCCCAAGGGCTCCTGTTTATACTTAAACTAGGGTTGTGACCCTTAAACAAGGGGAGATAATTAGGAAAATAGAAACAAAAGTACTGGTTGCTAAAAAATCTTCTTCTCAAGAACCACTGGGCAGATTATCACCAAACTTACACAAAAGGTTGAGGAATTGTTAAAGATTAAAATTGTTTAAGGCATCACCCTGGGGCAAAGGGCGTGGTCTCAAGGTCACTTCAAAGTTGACCAAAAATTACATTTTATTAAAATGTTGATATTTTGTTTACTATAAGGACTATGATCATCAAATCTTGTCAGTTGATGCATCTAAGGCCCTCATATCATGCTGATTAAAAAGTAGGTCACGGTGACCTACTTTTTAAATTTTGCAGTCATTCTTTTTCAAAATGATTTAGAGGCATATTTTGAACAATTTAAGGCCTATGATCATCAAACTTTCAGTTTTTCAGTTGATGTATATTGCTCCTCAAAGTAAGTCACCTAAAAAGTAGGTCACCTTGACCTACTTTTTAAATTTTTGGCTAATCTTTTTCAAAAAAATTAAGGTCATTAATTCAAATAATGAGAGGTTTAGAATCATTAAATCTTGTAAGATGATGCATCTTGGGGCCATAAAACGTATTGATTAAGATGTAAGTCACAGGGACCTACATTTTGAACTTTGCAGGCATTCGATTTCAAAGCATTTTTGAGGCATAATTTGGACATTTTAAGGCCTATGATCATAAAACTTTGTAAGTTGATATATCTTGGGTCCTCAAAAAACGTCAACTGAAAAGTAGGTCACTGTGATGATTCTAAACCAATTAGTACCTGAAATAATTAATTATAGTCATATAAATTGAAAAGTAGGTCACTGTGACCTACTTTTCAATTTATATGACTATAATTAATAATTTCAGGTACTAATTGGTTAAGAATCATCAAACTTTGTCAGTTGATGCATCTTTAGTCATTGGAGTAGTTCGGCTGAAAAGTAGGTCACCATGACCTACTTTTCAATTTATATGACTATAATTAAATATTTCGGGTACTAAATTGGCCTAGAATCATCAAACTTTGTCAATTGATGCACCTTGGGTCTTCGGAATAGGTCGACTGAAAAGTAGGTCACTGTGACTTACTTTTCAAAATTTATGGCTTTAATTAAATATTTCAGGTACTAATTGGCTTAAAATCATTAAACTTTGTCAGTTGATGCATCTTGGATCTTGGGAGTATGACAAAAAAAAGGTAGGTCACCATGACCTACTTTTGAAAATTTATGGCTTTAATTAAATATTTTTCAGGTAGTAATTGGCTTAGAATCATCAAAGGAAAAGGTATGGTAACGGCCGAATCTGGCCCCTTTTTTTATGTAAAAATCGGAGCATAGTTAAAATTGTGATAGTTTGTAGTTAAGAAGTTAAAATGATGCTTGTTTTAAAACCAGCACTAATTTTGATTCAAAGCTTACACGGAGGCCACAAGATGGTGCCGTAGTAAGCCATTTTCCCGAATTTCCTCAACTATGGTGGAATTTCGTCAAATTTGAGATACTTTTCACTTCGGGAAACATAGAGCACAAGCTTGCCTATCTGAGATTTTTATACACAAGATACATATGTTGCTAGAGTATGAAATATATCAATTTGGTAGATAGGCAAGCTTGTGCTCTATGTTTTCTGAAACAAAATGTGCTGTAAAATTGATGAAAATTTGCATAAACATTAGAAAATTTGGGAATTGACATATTTTCCGACCTTCCTCTTACCTCTGTGTATCCCATAACTTACAACCAATACTCATTTTGTAGCAGGGGTGACACAGGCTTTCATTGATAAATTGTTGCATCATTCTAAAAGACACCCCAAACCAGGGGCCAAAAAGGGGTCTTAGCCTATCTTGTCCTTTGTCAATTGATGCATCTTGGGTCCTCTGAGTACAACAATTGAAAAGTAGGTAACCGTGACCTACATGTATTTTTGAAATTTTATGGTTATAATTTTAAAAATATTTTGGGTATTAATTGGCTTAGAATCATCAAACTTATTTGATGCATCATGGGTCCTCAGAGAATGACAAGTGATAAGTAGGTCACCATGACCTACTCTCAGGAACTAATTGGCTTAGAATCATCTTGGGTTCTCAGAGTGTTTCATCTAAAATAATGACCTACCTTTGGAATTTCAAGACTTTATCTAAATATACAGGATACTTAGAGGCTTCATAGAAGTGATAGGTTGTACAGTTCATCAGAAGAGCGATTCAAGGCCCTTGGATCTCTTGTTTAAGAGAAAACCTTCACAGTAGGGTTTAAGGATTTTACTTGCTAAATATCAACTTCATGAAAAAACAACAGGACTGTCTGTTTGATTAATTTAATAATACTTGTATGCAATCTTAGATGTGTAGCCTTTGAATTCAAGCTTATTATATTTATCCTTTATTGAGAGAGAGAGCAAATTTAAGTGACTCAGGTGAGCATTATGGACTATTCAATTTGGCTTTTTGTTATAGCCATAATAGGTAAACTAGTGAAGTCAGTAGGTTTAATTCTATTTCATAAGATTGAAATTCAAAATTAATATATCCCCTCAACATTTTTTTTTTTACAATTTGTGATACTTAATACTGAAATACACTTTCCTTAACAGTCAGATTATGTCTGCGATCATCCACAAATGTTTCGTGGAAATTTTACTTTTGAACATTCTGCTGGAAAACACAGATGGAATATCACAGATGTACAATATGAACTTATAAATCATTTTTTTGCTCAAAAAGTAAAGGAGTTGAATGACAAGTCAACATATTTGTTAAAAAACAAGATAGAAGCATTTTCAAGAGAAAGGAGTGCAGAAGTCATAAAGATAGTCAAAGACATTGAAGAAAAGTTATCACAATTGTGGTTTGTTGAGTTGAATGATGATGTCAGTTATGAGCTGTGCTCATCATCATTATTGCGTAAATTGACTGGTAGTGATTGTTTGGTCTTTATTCCTGTGTCTTTTCCATCAAGAAGAATATGTGTGTTAAGTGAGAACCAAACTGTATTGGATAAAGCTCTGGAAGCTCTGTGTGCTGAATATAACAGGTGGAAAAATTTAATGCATGGAGCCTCATTTCAATCTTCTACAGTTTCAAGTCAGATGCCTTCATTAGTTGGAAAAAATTCTACACATGGTTCCTCATTCCAATCTTCTGCAGTTTCAACTCAGATGTTTTCATCAGTTGACAAAAATTCTACACATGGTTCCTCATTCCAAGCTTCTACAGTTTCAAGTCAGCTGCCTTCATCAGTGGAAAAAAATTCTACACATGTTTCCTCATTCCAATCTTCTACAGTTTCAAGTCAGATACCTTCATCAGTTGAAAAAAATTCTACACATGTTTCCTCAATCCAGTCTTCTGCAGTTTCAAGTCAGATGCCTTCATCAGTTGAAAAAAATTCTACACATGGTTCCTCATTCCAATCTCACGAAATTTCAAGTCAGACAACACTTTCTCCAACTCAAAAATCCACACATAGCCAAGAAAAAATGAATTTTATAATTGGAACATTGAGAGTAAAAATATACCAGAGTTCCATTCTAGATGTTAAGGTGGATGCCATTGTGAATGCAGCCAATGAGTACCTCATATTTGAAGCCGGTGTTTCCAAAGCAATATATGAGGTTGCTGGCTATGATTACTCTAGGGAATGTGACAAACTGCTCGAAGTAGAGGGTCCAAAATTAGAGATTTCTAAATGCTATTCAAGTAGACCTGGAAATTTGAGTTACAAGTTTAGGTTCATACTTCATGCAGTTGGTCCTTGTTGGACTGATTATGAAGATAAAGAATTTTTCTTGCAGTTATTAAGACAGACTGTTCAAAATTTGTTGGGGAAGGCAGAATCATTGTCCATTATCTCCCTTGCCATGCCAGCAATAAGTTCAGGTTAGAGGTGTTAAATTAATATACTTTTTATTCTACATAACTTTTTAAAAAATTTTTAGGGGAACCAAATTACACTTGCCAATATTAGAAGATTAGACTAGTATTTCTTATACAATACTCTCAGAATGCTTGTTGAATCACTTATCTTTTATAGGATATATTTTATTAGATGTATATATTTTTTACATTTAAATATTTTTATTAACATTTTTCATATTCTAGGAAACCCTTGTGTGCCATTGAAATTATGTGCTGAATCCTATATCCTTGGAATAGTCCAATTTTGCCGTGATAATTACCCAGTCTGTTTAAAAGAGATACACTTGGTGGATAATAATCCTGAAGTGATAAAAGAATTGTTGGTGGCATCAACAAAATTCAAGGAAGACCCATTTTCAATTTCACTTTCAGCAGTAAATTCACGTTATACTCAACATTTTGGGGGAACAGTGCAGAATGTTGCCAGGGCTACTGCTCAGACAAACCCACCAGCAAGTAGTCAGTCGTTACAGTTTAAAGCAGGAAATATTAGTGTGAAAGTTTTGGAGGGGTCCATTCTGAATGTAAAAGCAGATGCAGTTGTGAATGCTGCTAATGAAAATTTGTCACATGGTGCTGGTGTTGCAGTAGCTATTAGTGAAGCTGCTGGATACGGGTTCAACACAGAATGCATGAGCATACTTGCTTCTCTCAACCGGGCCTTGAATACAACAGAAGTAGTAAAAACCTCCCCTGGAAATTTGAAAAAAAAATTTCAGGTTATACTGAATGCTGTTGGTCCTAGATGGAATCAGTATCCAGACAAAACTGTGTGCCTTTTGAATTTGAATCAAACCATCAAAAATATTTTAGAAAAGACAGAAAAGCTTATGCTTTCATCTGTAGCAATGCCAGCAATAAGCGCAGGTACATATTTATAAAATCTTTTCTTTTCAGATTGTCATTTATAAGAGACACATTTACACCTCATAAAGTTTTGATCCAATATATATTAATTTTGGTACACATAACCATACCAATATACTTTGAGAGTTATGATTGCTAAACATTGGATACAAGTTTCAAAAATGTAATTGATACATAAAACTCAAGAGGAATTCCTACAAGACCAAGTGCAACTTTTAAACTATAATGAATTAAAACTTAATTAGTAGTGCTTCAGTGTCTGACATCAGAAACTGCCATTACAGAATAAATTAATTCAAATGATTTTTATTTCTGCCTATGACCAGAAATATTTTATGTCCTGGACTCTGTGTCAAATTCAAAAGTCAGAAAATGTGTACCTTGAAATGTTGAAAATACATACTTGTATAACAATTTTGAATTAATATCCTGCCCCCATTTAGTTCAAGGTCCAGTAGCATTCATAGTAAAAGCATGTTACAGAATATATTTTATAGGCCTCGGTAATAATTATTTTAAGAAAAGGAAGAATTCAATTTTCCTATCTTGTTAACATAATTGTCATTATCCATGTCATTCAAAGTTATGGAAACAAATTCATGGGTGCATATATGGCCTGAGGTATGTTTTGAAAAAGGGAATTCATCTATACCTTGGTAATTTGATTGTTCAAAAGATATCTTGTTATTTTCAGGCATTTTTGGAGTACCTTTGAAATTGTGTGCAGAAATGTATGTGCTGGGAATTCATGAATACAGTAAACAGAAACCGATCTGGCTGGAGGAGGTTATTATTGTGGACATTGATCCAAGTGTCTGTACAGAGGTCAAATCAGCTTACCATCATTACAGAGATGACCCTTCATCTCTTTCCATATCCACTGCAAGGTCCCGTTATCCGGCATTGATGAAAACCTTGACATCGCCATCAGTCAGAGAGAAGCCTGAAAGCACAAGCTGTGATGGAAGAAGAAATCATTTTTCAGAATCAAGTTCTGTTGCCAAGAATCCTGAACCAAACACAGAAACATTGTCAGCAGGTTCAAGCAGTAATGTTAGAAAACATGAGACCACCAGACAGAACCACTCCAAGAAACTTCTGAAGCTCGGTGATGAAAAAATTGGAAAAGAGCTTGTGAAAGTGTTCAGTTTTGAAGATTTTATGTTGGTGAAGATCTATACTGGTAGTATAGTAAGGTTTCAAGGAGATGCAATAATTTGCAGCAATGATGATAGAATGTCTGGGATTGGTCCATTAGCAAAAGCAATAGCTACTGCAGGGGGTTCAAAATATAGTGAAAGTTATACAAAAATCAGAAGCAAATATTCATATGGCACAAGTAAATGGGAGCCTGGAGATATTGAAACATGCAGTGGAGGAAATTTAAATGTTAAATTTGTTGCACATGCTGTCATTAATTCAATGTCAATTACAGATGAGAGGAGTCTGAATTCATATGGAGAAACACTGAAGCACATATTCAATAAAATCAACACTTACAGGAAATCGAGGAAATTTGCCATGCCTTTAATTGGAGCAGGTATATGTTTTTATTCTCTATATATACATGGTAAATGTAGTGTTTTGTTATCCCTCTTCTATCCATCCAACCTCCTTTTTGTCCTTTTCTATTTTGTATTTAGCAATTAAGTTTCAAAGAAAACCATCCAAGAGTGATAAAACTTTGTAAAAACTTTGTGACCTTGTCCATCCATATGACCTTGTCATTACTTTTCCTCATTTTGTGTTTTGTTGAGTTTCAAAGAAACTGTTCAAAGTACATTTGTAAATAGAATTTTCCTCATAAATGCATTTGAATGAGAGCAATTTACATGAAAACATTTTGATATATTTACATTTCCAAATGTTTTTCTTTAAAATTCTTTGAAAAGTAGAAAAAGTTCATGTTCTCATGAACTACCGTGGGATGAGTACCTAAGAATATTCCCTTTGTGATATGACTGAAGTCAAAAAATAGTGCAAACTATTTTTTAAAAAATGATCATTGAATGACAAAAATATGTGGCAAGTCTTCAATTAATTAGATATGATATGAATTTAATTTTTGAGAACTCATGAGGTACATGAACTACAACGCTTCACACTTGCATATTTATCATGAAGCGCTAACTTGCATCATGAAATATGCTGGTGTGAAGCATCATAGCTCAATTTCTCATGAATTCTCAAAAATTTAAAAATTCATCTCTAATTATACCTTTTGTATGACTCTAAGTATAAACCTAGCTTTTTTCTCTTTATACAGGGAAAATTGCTATAGAAGCTAATGGGCCAGTTGAAAACACTTCTTTATACTTGTAACCAAACTTCATAAGATCAGAATTCCATGTTCCTCTCTCTTTGTGAATCAGATACTTATTATGCCCCCCTTAGAAGAAGGGAGGGCATATTGCTTTGCTTCTGTCTGTCAGTCAGTCTGTCTATCGGTCCACCAACAGTTTCCGTTCATTTTCTTCGCAGAGGTTGCATATACTGAAATGAAATTTGATATACAGATTTATCATAAGAATTTGTAAGTCAAGCTCTGTTTTGGGTACGATCGAGCAATTTTTGACAGAGTTATGCCCCTTGGATGTAGAAAAATTCCAATTCTTTGCAGTTTCCGTTCATTTCTTTGCAGAGGTTGAACATACTGAAATGAAATTTGGTATACAGATTTATCATAAGAATATCTATTGTTTTGGATATGATTAAGCAAATTTGACAGAGTTACTGTAAACCAACTATTATTCGCGTCATCTTTTTTTCGCGATATGTCAGTTTAAAATCAATCCTCACCAATTAATTTTTCGCACTGAGGAAACATGCTCTACAAAATCAAAGCAAAATAAATGGTTCATGGCAATTAATATTCGCAGGTAAAAGTAGGTCGCGAAATATGTGAATATCTCATGAATTAAAGTTGGTTAACAGTATGCCCCTTGGACTTAAAAAAATTCCAATTATTTGCAGTTTCCGTTCATTTCTTTGCAGAGGTTGCACATACTGAAATGAAATTTAGTAGACAGATTTATCATAAGAATATGTAGGTCAAGTTCTGTTTTGGGTATGATTTTGGGTATGATTGAGCAATTTTTGACAGAGTTATGCTCCTTGGACTGAGAAAAATTCCGGGTTTTTGCTTTCCATTCGTTATCTCTGCAAAGATTGAACTAATTAATCACTGATATATCATGAGAAACATATGTTTTTGCCAAAGATGTGATGTAGAAGACTATTTCTGTGTGAGACATCTCAGATAGTACCGGTAGATGACCCCTATTGATTTTAAGTTCAAAAGGTCAATTTTATTTCCATGTACACTGCCCATAATAAAGGCTTGTGCACCCTAAAATGTATGTCCGGGGGGAGGGGGGGGGGATAAATGTTTCACAAACATCTCTTGTTTTGTTAGTAGCAGGTCAATGTTACCCTCAACTACATGCATTATTTATATAATGTACACTCCCAGACTTGCTTCAGATGCTAGTCTGATCTATATTTTCTCATTAAAGTTTTGGAGGAGGTCCACTCACATGTAACTCTAAACCTTATAATTACCCAGACCAAACTTGTTTGGATGTTGAATATAGGGATGCGTATTACCAAATTATTCATTTGGTTGTAGACTTTGTCTTAACTATAGATCCATCATCCTTTAAAAAAAAAATTTTTTTTTATTATCAAACTTAATACATATACATATCTGCCCTATATACATACGGTGTATTTCAATTTTGAAAAACATTTATGCAGTACTGTATTACTAAGTAGTTTTTATTGACTGTTAAACTGTAACTTTTGCTTAAATTCAGGTTACTTTGAGAGGCGCTTTGAGGACTTGAGAAAATGCTGTTTAACTCTCTTTCATGTTCTTGCTGACTTCTGTCAAGACCATCAGTCCAAATGTGCTGTAAAGGAACTTCATTTGATAAACAAAAATCCTGCTGTTACTAAGTCACTAGTGGATGTGTTTGAATGCAATGTCAGCAAAAAAGCAAATGAAACTGTCCAAACTCCATCCAGCCATCATAACAGATCAAGACCTGCAAGTGATACAGTATTAGGATATGGGGACAAAACACCTGTTAATGGTCACCATGGATACCTCAACAGACAAAACAGTTGGTCCCAGTCAAATTCTGGAGGAACTACAGATGATCAAAAAGAATTTGATATCAGAAAAACTGGTGCACGTCCTAAAACAGGATATTTGAGGTCCAAATCAATGTATGACAAAAGGCCAAGCACAGGGACTAAGAAACAGGACAAGAAACAAAACATTGAGGATCTTATTTCCATGAGCAGTGTTACAATGGGCAGTTATGATAATAGTGAAACTGATATAAAGACAACTTCAGCTGGGAAAAAGGAGGGAAACTTGAACATTATTGGGTTAGGTGATGATAGTGAAAGCAGTGATTCTAATGATGATGACAGAAAAGAGGACCCGGGTGATGCTGGTGAAACAGCAGGCTGTGTCATTTGTTTGGATGATATAAAAAATGGCATTAAACTCACCTGTGGTCATGAATTTTGTAAAGGCTGTCTAACACAGTCTTTTTCCCAACACAAACAGGCATGTCCTGTGTGCGGGAAGATTTTTGGAGAAATTACTGGAAATCAACCCCCAGGAGAAATGACTGAAGAAAGAGAAAGAAGGTCATTGCCTGGATATGAAGGATGTGGAACAATCATTGTCAAATACAAGTTTGATTCAGGAATTCAAGGGGTGAGGAAAACATATTACATGGAATTGTGGGTAAATTACAGAAAAAAGAATTAAAATTAATTTCAAGTTTTGATGTACAGTAAAACATGCTTAAAACGTAGTCCCAGGGTCAGACGGTTTTGGTTCATATTTCATTACATCCATTTAATTTACAAAATATGTTAAAAATACAGGGAATGAAAATAACTTCACTGTATGCATCAATTTATTATAAGCTTGTTCACTATTATAA